TACCTATTACTAAGTGCGAATTCGTTTCACACGGTGCTGTGCGAGACGCTTCCCACTTAGTTTTTTTTTTTTTCTTTATTTCTGATATATAGAGGTAAACAGTCATTTTTTAAGGATTTTGTTTATAACAACTGAAGTTTGTAAAATTAGCAAAATGACTTTTCTTTTCATCAATGGTTCTTTTTTGCTTATTTTCTGCTTTTTTCTTTTCTTTTTTCTATCCTCTCTTTTTTTTATTGTTACTCTTTTTCCTACTATACATTTTTTTCTTTCTCTCATAAATAATTTTCTCTAATTGCCCCCATTAAAATAATTTCTTTTCATATATGTTCTTATCTAAACTTTGACCATCTCGATTACATTTCTTTATATATGCCCAATAAATAATTTTTAATATAACAACTAGTTTTTCGGAAAATCGCCTCAAACGATGAAACATTTCGCTGTTTTTTTATCTTGCTTTTAGTGTTTTACTTTAGTTTTTAGTCATTCTTTCTTCTTTATTTACATCTTTTTGGTCTATTTTTTGCTTCTCACTTTTCTACTTTTTTTTTAGTAAAATATATCTATAATCTATATAATATTTAAAATCTATTATGCTTATAATCTATAACCTATAACATATTATTAAAAGAGAATGGGTTTCTACATAATGCTATTAAATTTTTCTGCAGTTTGAAATAAAATATTATTCAAAGACAATATTAAAAGAGAATGGGTTTCTACATAATGCCTATAAAATTTTTCTACATTTGAAATAAAATATTATTCAAAGACAACTCTCATGTCAACGTCTATAAAATTTTTCTACATTTGAAATAAAATATTATTCAAAGAAAATTCTCATGTCAACGTTTGACGAAATGTGATATGATGATAGAATTTTGACTAAAAACAATTTGAAGCTAAACTACTTTTAGTTGGTATTTGCCTAATATTACCCACGTCTCTGGTTGATATAGCATTATTCGTTTTAGACATATGATTGTACAATTTTGTTGTAGAGGGTTTTACATTAAAAGGTCTTATCTTATTTGGAGGGCCTGTTTGACAGACGTTTTTAGAAGGTGCTTTATGCTTCTTGTTCCAAAATTTAAAAGTGTTTGTACATGTAACATGTGTCAAAAGAGCCTATTAATTAATCCTCAAGAACCCTCAAGAAGAGCTTCTGACTGAAGGCATAAAATTTAACTTCTCAAAAAAGCTCTTCTAAAATGAATTTTGAAACTTTTTGCTCGCTTCAATGGTTAAAAATGCAACACATTAGTTGACAAGATTGTTGCCTTGAATGTTGTTCACGCGGTTTGTGGGAAATTGAGAATATCATGCCTCTAGAAGAGATGGAAAATGTGAATTGTGAGACTCAGAGCTTATTGGATATCTTTCTTTGTTTTTTTGTGTTTGTTTTTGTTTTTTAATTAAATGATAAGAATAGAACAAATAGTTTCAATACATGTGCTACTTTCCCATAAAATAAAATAAAATCATAAACAAATACCACCTAACACAATGGAGGGTTCTCTTATTTTTATCATTCACGTGCAAGAAAAACAATAAAACAAAAATCCTTCTAGTTGTTTAGAGGGGAGAAAAAAGAGAGCATGAAAGAAGAAACTTCTCTAAAATCCCCCAAAAAAAAAAAAAAAAAATCAAACATATTTCATAATAAGATTAAATGCGTCATCACTTGAGTCGTGAGCCTCAACAAGAAGCTATATTATTACATTTGTTTTTATATTGGCGAACTATGGAATGTGAATAAAAACCATGTTATACATTGAAATTGAGATATTTGTGCAACTTCTGCACAAAGTCTAATAAAAATTGCAAAATATTGTTACAAATCTCATTATCAAACCCCATTTTCCAGAATATATTTAACACGTGTATTTGAGCTGATAATCTTTAAGGAACAACTAAACCAAACTCGAAACCTTCCCCTGGACTAGAGCTACAATAAAGAATCTTACTTTGTTTCCCTGAAAATATTGACGAAAGTGCAACTTAATGGCTTTAAGCATTCTTGGAACTTCTTTATCCGATCAAAAGCTTTTATAAACTATTACCATATTGCTATTTTGAAATCTATAACGCAAAATCCTAAATTTTACTGTTAATGACAATTCTATAAATTTTCATAGAGGTATGTTTAATTTGCTATTTGTTGTATGATGATTGTTCTTTTACCTTTTTATTTATTTTATGTTTATTATTATTATTATTTCTAAACAATTCATTTTTTAGAAAGCAAATCATTTAATTTTATTTTCTTTTACGTTTCTTATATAAAGCTGGATTCCATTTTGTCTTTTTTATCATAGCTCAATGATATAATAGTTTTGTTGCGGTTTAGTTTTTTTTATTTTTATTTTTACTTTTTGCATTTATTTATTTTATCATACATCAATGATATATTTTAAGCCGATCACCAAATTCTACCAACAAACAACAAATCAAACAAGGGTCGAGTGGGGAGAACCCCGGCCTTATTACAAACACAAAAGTAATATATAAAAAAACATAAAAAAGCTCCGATCACAGCCATTATAAGACTCCTGTGAAGGGCAAGCGGCCAATGGGCCGTCGAGGAAGACAGAAGGCCAAGAGATTTAAGCCACCAAATGCCAAATTCGGCTGAAAACAAAGCTCATTCATTCAACTTTTAAGCTCCAAACCGGTTTAGATTTGATCCAAACGGAGCCCCGCAATGTACACCACCACCACCACCAACAAAAAGCCCACGACGAGGCGAGCCAGAAGACCAAGTTTCATGGCCGGAAGTCTAATGACGCACCCGGAAGCGGCCTCAAAATTCCGACCATCGTTGACTCTTTTTTTCTATGATTTGTGTGGGAGAGAGAGATTTAGAGACAAAACTCAAATAATAATATGTTTAACCCTTTCACTTTCATGGTCTATCTTCCATAAAATTGTCGTTGTTTTACTATTCAAGATCAAAGACATTATTTTATGTGATAGTCAAATTTTTAAAAGTCAAAAAACTAATTATATATAGTGGGAAAATTAGGTGGATAACTAGTTTTGACCACCACGTTTTAGTTTATAGCCGAACTTTGTTTTAGGTAATGATCATTTTTTTGTTGTTGGAAAATGATCATTTTTTTTTGGTAAATGATCATTTTTTATGATGACCAATCATTTATCTATCAGTGATTTATCAGTGCTTTATCAATAATTTACTAGTAACCGATGTTGGTAAATTAGTGATAACCACTAAATCAATCAATGATAAATCATTCTAAATAGTATCATTTTTTCAAGTTAATAAAATTTTTATTAGTATTAGACAAAGAAAAGAAAAAAGAAAAAAAAAGCTTTAGAGGCCCATTTCTGCACATATCCATATTACTTTGATTCATTTGCCAATGTCAACGAGCCAACCCTTTGCGTAACTAATTATCCGAAACGAATTCTATACGTGATATCATATGACATATTCAATCATATTGCTATTCAAAATATTTTATATATATACTAAAATGAATAATAATACTTAAATGAATAATAATAATAAATCTGTGTTTTTTTTTTTTTTTGAAAAGTATCGTATTGTTTATACATTCTATATAGCGGTTTCAAAATAGCTGTCGATCGGTCAAGAAATTAATAAAATATGAAGCACTTGTGTGCTATAAATATGCAACTAGCATCCTTGCACTCTCACAATATTATTCCAAAATCCAACTCATCAAGAAAAATGAAGTACTTTTCATTATCTTCATCATTTGCCAGAATTATCATCGTTCTTTATTCAATTTCGTTAGCAAATTCAGCGCACACTCATGAAGACTTTCTTCAATGCCTCACCACTCGTATATCCGAGAAATCTACCAACACTTCTAAAACCTTTACCTACATCACTCCAAATAATCCATCGTATTCCACTACATTGAATTCATCCATACAAAACAAACGTTTTTCTTCAATGCCTCACCACTCGTATATCCGAGAAATCTACCAACACTTCTAAAACCTTTACCTACATCACTCCAAATAATCCATCGTATTCCACTACATTGAATTCATCCATACAAAACAAACGTTTTTCTTCTCCTTCGACCCCAAAACCATTTGCCATTATCACTCCATTTCATTTCTCCCACGTTCAAGCTACTGTTTTTTGCTCCAAGAAACATAGCATTCAAATTAGAACCCGAAGTGGTGGCCATGATTATGAGGGTCTTTCTTATGTGTCCAGTGTCTCGTTTGTCCTAATTGACTTGAGAAATTTAAGTTCAATTAGTATAGACGTCGAGAGCAAATCTGCATGGGTTCAAGCTGGAGCTACACTGGGTGAGCTTTATTATAAGATTGGTGAGAAAAGTGAAAATCTTGCCTTCCCTGCTGGTGATTGCCATTCTGTAGGTGTTGGTGGACATATCAGCGGAGGAGGCTACGGTTACTTAACTCGAAAATATGGCCTCTCGGCTGATAATGTTCTTGACGCGAAATTAATCGATGCTAAAGGAAGAATTCTTGATCGGAAATCTATGGGTGAAGATTTGTTTTGGGCCATACGTGGTGGTGGAGCAGCGAGCTTTGGAATCGTTCTTGCATGGAAACTTCAACTAGTTCTTGTGCCATCGACAGTGACTGTGTTTGATGTTAAGCGGAATATGAACGATGCTGCAACAAAGAAGTTCGTTCATCAGTGGCAAAGGCGTGCAGACAAAATCGATGAGCATCTGTCAATCTACATCACATTCAGAACTGCGAGTTCTACTGATAAAGAAGGGAATAAAACAATTATACTAGAAGCTTTCCCCCGAGGGACATTCCATGGCAGCGTGGATAGGCTCCTTCAATTAATGCAAAAGGAGTTTCCTGAGTTAGGTTTGCTAAGAGAGGAGTGCACCGAAATGAAATGGGTAGAGTCCTTTCTCTATTTCAACTTCTTCAGAAATGGAGAATCCTTGGATGTTTTACTTAATAGGAAATCTGCTTACAAAGTCGCGTCTTTCAAGGCAAAATCTGACCATGTGAAAGAGCCTATTCCAGATGACGTGTTTGAAAGAATGTTGGAAAAGTTATACGAAGAAGAGGTAGGAAGTACTTCGATTGATGTATTTCCTTACGGAGGAAAAATGAATGAGATTTCAGAATCCGCAATCCCATTCCCACACCGAGTCGGGAACCTCTACTACATCCATTACTTTGTGCAATGGCAAGAAGAAGAAGTGGATATTACATCACCCAACAAACATATAACTTGGTTAAGAAGACTTTACGATTACATGACTCCTTATGTGTCTAAAAATCCAAGGACTGCATTTTTCAATTTCAGAGACCTTGATATTGGGATGAATAACAACAAGGATGGCATCACTTATAACAATATTTCTCATGCAAGCATTTGGGGCACCAAGTATTTCAAGAGTAATTTCAATAGGTTGGTTCGTGTAAAGACTATAGTTGATCCAACTAATTTCTTTACAAACGAACAAAGCATCCCACCTCTTTTTGTGTAATAAAAATGTGATAAGTGATCCTTGGGGTTAGAATAAACAATTGTCATTAGCTTTTCTATTTTCTGCGTTTTAAATAAATGTTTTTTGCGACTGTATCATATGTATTCTTATAGTTTAGAAATTAATACAAATAAAAATTCTTGGCTATGCTTTAGAAATTCCATGGCAACATATTGATTGAAAAGGTGCTACACATGCGCAATTAGAATGATAATTATTTACACGAATTGACCAATATTGAATCATTAATTTAAAAACATCCCTTTTTGTTTTTCCAAGTTTGATGTTGTGTGATTCCCATTTTGTCTTATGATCCTGATTTATTTGAGAAAATTTCAAATTTATCTATTGTTTTTTTTTTCAACTTTATTATTCACCACTACACAAAATTTTGATGTCATTACATAATATAACCTCAAAAAATAACTTATAGATTACGAAATAATCTATAAGGTATGATTTCAACTTTATTATTCACCACTACACAAAATTTTGATGTCATTACATAATATAACCTCAAAAAATAACTTATAGATTACGAAATAATCTATAAGGTATGAAAAGTAACCGTTGGATTTACGTACTTTTAAGTTTTATGAGATTTTATGTAGATATGACGGACAGAAAACTTAACCTATCAGTATATTGCCGTATCGAGGAAGGTCCCAACGAAAAATGTTGTAAGATTTGAACTTTTTCTTTTATTATTAGTTTCATGGTTGTTTCATTAAAAAAAAAAAAAAAAAAAAAAAAATGAAACACGTGCAAGAAAAGTTTACTAAGGAGTTAGGATCTCTCTCACACTTGCGCTGGGGTTACTTTGCCCGTGCCTCACTCTTGGGGCCGAGTTCAGCATTTACGCTCCATTGGTCCGAGAAATGGCACTCTAAGTGGGCGTTTAGAATTTGGATTAAAATAATTTTATTTTTTTGTATAAAAATAAAAATAAAAATATTTTTAATCTCAGACATAAATTATTTTTGAAAATGTGTTTAGTAATTTTATCAAAAGATTACTTTTAGTATAAAAAATTCATTAATGTCTCTCTCTCTCCGCTCTAGAAATGAGAAAACAATAATAAAAAATAAAAAATGACTAAAAGTCATTTTTCATTTCTATCTCATTTTATACTAAATTAAAAAATCATTTTTATTTCTGTTTTTTTATTTTTATTGCGTCAAACACAATTTTAAAAACGTTTAATTTTTTTTTCTCTCAAAAAATATAAAAAATAAAACGAGAATCAATTCTAAACACGACATAAGTTTCACAACGAAGGATTTGGAGGCAAGTGCGGCCTCTTGGCCTAATGGATTAGATTTTGGAGCGAGTGTCATTTGTGGGTGGGGTGGTTGGCTAATTTGGTGGTTTCGTTGTGGTCTTCACCGATGTGACCACCGATGTGAGACATTTGGGGATCATTCTGGTTTTCACGAGTAAGTATAGTGATATTCTGTATCACGAAATTTTTTTTTTACTTTTTTTTTTCTTGAAGGAGAAGTTTACAAGAGAAAACGTTCATCTCACAACTCTCTATTTTCTTGAACCTCTATACAAACCCTCGAATTTCTATGTGTAAGGTAATAAATTGTTAGGGTAATAAATTTTATTATAGGCTCGTTCATTTTGCGGATTTGAGTTTTCAATTTAAGTTGAGATATAATATTTTTTGAAAATTTTTCACTGTAATAAAAATATTAAATATGACATTTTTTGAGAAAATTTTACTGTAAAAACTTAAAATTAAAAAACTTAAATTTATGAAATGAAGAGACGGTCTATCAAACGTGCACAAAAACCTCTTATGATTGCCGCCAACAGACTAATTAGCCATGACCCAGAAGCTAGACCCAACTTGACAAAAAGAGTCTACTAAAACTTTAGGACTAGTTGGTCAGCTCTTCCTATTAGTTTCAATTACACGCAAGAATAAAGAATGCATAAAGTAACTTCCATGATTGGAGTATTTGAATTTGTATTAATTTTTGTGTGATTGTCATTTTTTGGGTACCTACTGTACATTCTTTCATTGGATTTGGCACAAAAGAGCAAATGTTTGTTTATTGATTAGTGGTGTATAATAATTTGTTTAATAGTACTAATCAACTGTATATGTGTCTTAGTTCATATTTAAATATTTTAGTTTAACTTTGCATTGGCCGGTAATTGGTGCATCCTAAAACAACTAAAGTACAAATTTAAAAGTGTGCCCAGTAAACCATCCTTATTTCATATTCTAGTGTAAATTCCCTGTTTATAACATTTCAGTAACACATTTTCAAAGAAATATTGGCCAATTTTAAGAAAGTAAATAGTTAATTATTCTGTCCCCGTACTGCGTGTCTCATGTAAGCATTCTCAAAGTCAAGTAAGGAATGACCATGAACTTTTTTTATTTTTCTTTTCCTTCGATTTTAAAATATATTTTTATTTTTTAAAGTACAATATTTTATTTTTATTAAGAAAATATTTTAAAATATATTATATTTCGATTTTAAAAAAAGTTGAAGCTGGATTACTTTTAGGTTAGAAATTTTGAGCAATAGCCTACGCCTTTATTTGGTATATGAAATTCTCCGTTTTAAGTCTAAACTTGTGTCTTAGTTCATATTTAAATATTTTAGTTTAACTTTGCATTGGCCGGTAATTGGTGCATCCTAAAACAACTAAAGTACAAATTTAAAAGTGTGCCCAGTAAACCATCCTTATTTCAAATTCTAGTGTAAATTCCCTGTTTATAAAATTTCAGTAACACATTTTCAAAGAAATATTGGCCAATTTTAAGAAAACAGTTGAGAAAATTGCAGAATTCTCTCATGAATGCGAGTAAAATGCATAATTTAATATAGCATTTTAAGAAGTTTACAATTGTTCTCACATTGTAATTTTTTTAAGTTAAAAAAACTTAACTTTTTAATACGTGTTAGTTGAACTAATATTATAAAATTAGACAAACTTTTGAGTCAACACTAACTAATCTACTTTCATACTATATTATTCAAAGAGAACACCCATATCACTTTTTGACCAAATGGGATATCATGATAGAATTTTGATTAAAAACAATTTGAAGCCAAACTACTTTAACTTTAATAATACCCACGTCCCTACTTCACATGATATTATTCGCTTTAGACTTATCATGCAATTTTGTTCTAGAGAGCTTTTTTATCAAAAGGTCTCATCTTATTTTGAGGGCATATTTGGCAAACCCTTCTAGAAGGTGTTTTTGGCTTCATATCCCTCAAAGATGCATTTGAAAGTGTTTTGTATGATATGTCAAAAAAGCTTTAACACTCCATAAAAGCTTCCGGTCAAAAAAAATTCTTCTGAAATAGATTTTAAAATTTATACAAGAATTTCAATAAAATTTTATTATATTTTTATTGCTTATTAAAAAGTTTAACAACCATTCTGATCCATTTTAAGTTCTTTTAAAATATAATTATGAATACTAATTAAAAAGACACGGATTTTATTTCTCTTCTTCTACCGACCAAAACCATAAGTAAAAACTCTGCATAACTTGGCATGACATATATTTCTAATTTTATCAACTTTTAGTTGTAACATTCTCTTAGCGATATGGGATATGATATTCTTGCCTAGAATGTGATAGTATGATTTCTCATGAGCAATTTTACTTTCCCATGTTAGAATAAGCCTTTACAAGACAAAAAAAAAAAAATCAGCCATGTAATTATGGTACTGAAATCTAGAAAAAGATAATTCAGAAGAACACTAAAACTTGAATATTCACCAAATTATGGCTGAGATAACAAGATGCTATGTTTAAGAATTATAGTTAAGCAGGAGATACTCTACAATTCAGTTATTGAATATAGGAGTGTGCTTAGTAGCTTGGATGACACTTCAGTGGAACTGGATAGAAATGTGACTATAATTTTTGCATTCTAATAGTGCAATGACAGTAAAAGAGGAAAGGTAAAAAGTACGCTTTTTTAGCAATATACGAAACACAAAGCATAATGCTTGATATGTAATCATTTTAAAATTTAATCTTTTTGTTAAATTGATTAAAATATCCACGCAGCATTCTGCAGAAAGTCAAGAGAAGATTCTGACGGCTAAGAATCCTAATAATAGATCCTCATATTGAAGGTCAATTTCCATCAAATGTGAAGAAAAACCTCTTATGATTGGCGCCCACAGCCTAATTAGCCATGAACCAAAAGCTAGGCCCTAGTTGACAAAAAGCGTCTACTAAAACCTGAGGACTTGATGAGCTCTTCCTATTATTACAATTACAAAGAATAAAGAATGCAAAAGTTTGTTTAGTGATTAATGGGTGTAGTCTAATAGTACCCATTAACTGTATTTGTGTCTTAGTCCATATTTTATTATTTAAGTTTAACTTTGCATTGCCCGGTAATTGGTGCATCGTAAAACAACTAAAGAATTGTGCGAAGCAAGCTATCCTTATTTCATATTCTAGTGTATTTAGCAACATATTTTCAAAGAAATATTGGCCAAATTTAAGAAAGTAAATAGTTTCTAATTATTCTAAAGTCCCCGTATTCTACATGTCTAAAAGTCGTGTAGCATTCTCAAAATTATGTTAATGAATGACGACAGACGCTTTTTTATTTTTTCGTTTTTTTTTTCGATTTTCAAATATGTTTACCTTTTCAAATTCAATGGTTTTATTTTTTTAAGAAATTATTTTTCTGATGAATTATTCTTTTCGTTTATTTATTTATTTTTGTAATCCCATGCACTCTGCATGAGTACTTAGAATCATGTAAAGTCTTTTGGTCAAGTTTGGTTTGGCAAACTGTACGTTATTTTTCAGTAATAAACTAAGTAAAGAACTATTAAATTTGTGATAAGATTGGACCTAGGTTTTTTTAACTTTATGAAAGTCATCCCATGGAATTTGATTATCATTTTGTGTAGGTGTAACTTTAGCACAAGCAAAATCTATTTGGGTGTCACAAGACAACTAAATAATTGAAAAGTGCTTGAAAGAAGCGATATTTAATTCTTTATTCTAGTGTAAATTTCCCGATTATAACTAATTACAAGATATTTTCCAATAAATATTTGGCAAATTTAAAAAATTTGATTAAAATTCTACTAGTGGATAACTAACGGCGTAAACGTTATTGCACTC